AGGAGCGACAACAAGCGAGAGGACAAAAGCGTTTATCTATCCTAATTTGTAAACCAGCCGTCCATCGACGACTACCATATAGGTATAAATGCTAACTTGCCTGCTTAATTTTCCGTATTTTTCGAGTGTTTTCGCGATTCATCTCGCTACAATAAATCGCCGGATCTATCTGATTCTGTCTTCCTGCTCTCGAGACCAGTAAGAGCGGTGACCCGTGAGGTATGTTCTTCCCAATTCAGCCAATGACGCAGTAACATATGGGTTTTTTTTCCGCAATTACGCAATCGCACATGCACCGCGACGATGCACGCGACGCGCTTCTGCTACACACACAACACGACACACACACACACGACAATACACATACACACACACACTAACACACACCCCGGCCAGGCCACACACAACACACACACACACACACACTACAACACAATCCACACACACCACACAAACGCATGCACATACTGTGTACGTACGTACGAACATACGCACACCTGTGCACAAGGGAGATAACCGGCGGCGTCTCCCGGAGGCCCTGCAACAACCACAGTCGCAGGTCGTTTTCTCCGGAGTGTTACCTGATTTTCTCTGAATGACAGATTCGTCCATCATCAATTCGGGAGCCGTCACTTGTTCTCTCCCACTCTCTCGATCGATTTCGCTACTCTCTAAGGCCAGCCGCACCCCTGGCCTCTAGGAATGTAACCGCCTATTGCTGTCGCTGCTGCTGGTGATGCTGCTACTATTACTACTACTACTATTGCTGTCGCTGCTGCTACTATTACTACTACTACTATTGCTGATGCTGCTACTATTACTACTACTACTATTGCTGTCGCTGCTGCTACTATTACTACTACTACTATTGCTGATGCTGCTACTATTACTACTACTACTATTGCTGTCGCTGCTGCTACTATTACTACTACTACTATTGCTGATGCTGCTACTATTACTACTACTACTATTGCTGTCGCTGCTGCTGGTGATGCTGCTACTATTACTACTACTACTACTATTGCTGATGCTGCTACTATTGCTACTACTATTATTGCTGTCGATGCCGCTGCCGCTGCCGCTGCTGCTGCTGCTGATGCTGCTACTATTACTACTACTACTATTGCTGTCGCTGCTGCTGCTGCTGCTGCTACTATTACTACTACTACTACTATTGCTGATGCTGCTACTATTGCTACTACTACTATTGCTGTCGATGCCGCTGCCGCTGCCGCTGCTGATGCTGCTACTATTACTACTACTACTATTGCTGTCGCTGCTGCTAAATTCCTGCATGAACGCCCGTCTGTTGCCACCTGACAATGGAGACGTACGTACGGGAGATGACTACTACACATCCACACCCCCACTCCCAGCGTGTATGATGAAGGCCACCACCACCACCTGACGAGCAAACACGCGCACATTTACCGCCTCACCTTGAGCGAGCGATCAGGAGAAATCAATCACGGGCAGAAATTCCAGCTGCCAGGCCGTGAGGCCTGTCATTGCTGGGCCGCTCCCTCTCGCCGCCTGGTCCCTCCCACCTATACCCGTTAACACAGTATGGCCGTTGCCGCCGGTCGGCTGGACTCGCCGCATCGCTGCGGTGTGCGAGGGTGGTGGAGGAGGAGGAGGGGCCCACGATGTGGGTCAGAGTCGGAGGTCCGAGGTAGACCGGAGCGGAACCTATGCCCCGCCGGCACGCGCGCGCGGGAGGTGGGGGTGAAGGTCGGAGCTGGACCGGAGCAGGATCTCTGCCCTGCCCGCACACGCGCGCGGGAGGTGGGGGTTAAGGCGACGCGTCAGCGAGCGTACCGGGAGGGGGGAAGAAGGGGGGGGGGATTTCATGCTCCCGCACGGGTGGGATGTCGGTCATGATCAGGGCCGCCTGTTCCCGTACCCTCCCCCCCCCCCCCTTCCGCCCCCGCCGCCGCCTATACACTCGCATCCAGTTCTCTCTCATCTAGTTCTCGCTCATGCAGATCTGCGCGCCCGCAGGAATCGGGTCGTCTCATGATGACAGGCCGTTAGCGGCGCGCACCGCGGGATAGAGTTGTCGGGAAGCTTGGCCGCGGTGTCTGCTGCTGCTGATGCTGCTCCCATCCAGCCAGCAGTTGTCGTATATGAGTGGATATAGGCCCCTCGTGCAGCGGGTGCGTCCACATGTGCAGACGGATACACATGTGTAATACATCTATCGATGCTTGGCTCGGAGAAGCCAGCGGCACGGCGTACACGTGGCTTACAAGGCGCAGACGCTTACAAGGCGCAGACGCTTCTCACGAAACCTAATGAAAGAATGATCGGGATGTGGAACAACGTGAACGGTAGAAATATGAAGAGCCGACGAAGAAGGAACTAAGATCAGGGCTTCGATGAGCTGGTCGCCCGTCAACCCTCTCCACCGCCAGATGGCAGCTCGCTTGCCAACAAGAGGGCATCCCGTTTCGCCGTCAGCCGTTTCCCGGCGCGCAGGGGAAAGGCGCGGGGTTCAACGCCCGCGGCGACCCCTGGTAGACGCCGGGATGGTTACTGACGACACGGTGCCATTCATCCCTGCGTGCCGTGCCGCCTTCACTCATGATTCCCGCCCGCCACACTGGTGCGACGACCTCCTTACCTGCACTCCCACACACGCGCGCGCGTGCGGGTACGCAGGGTCAATGCCACCGTATAAGCACCCGCCTATAATACAATACAATACAACCCGCCTATGATATAATACCTGCCTGACTGTAAGACGCCCCCCGATTCCAGCATCACCCGCAGACACAATGAACCAGTTTACGTTGGATGACGCCCAGAGTTATTTGCTCCCTCCTCCTCCTCCTACTCCTTCTCGCGAGAGGCGGTTGCGCCCTCGTCTTACCCCCCCCCCCCCGCGGCCAAGCTTCCCGACAACTCTATCCCGCGGTGCGCGCCGCCGTGGCACTGTTGATCCCAAAACCCACTGCAATAGTTTTTTCCCCGTCGCATCGGAACTGGTTTCGCTGGGATGCGATGTATCACGGAGGTATGGCATCGCTGCGGGCTATAACATGAACAAGGGGCGATGGTAAGGTTGCACCTCCGTTTCTCTTTCCCCACTCGCGGCGAGACAGTCACGAGTTAATAAGCGTTTTCACGCGCAAGTGTGTCCGTGTATGTATCCGTACGGTTGAGCGTACTTGCGTGTGCGCACGTTGGTATGTCTATGATGGTTTGTGTGCGTACATGCGTATACATGCGTGTGTGCGTGCGTGCCTGCGTGCGTGTGCGCGCCGTCCGTAGGTCCGTCTGGGGTAGACCGGTATTCCAAGGATTTCAACAAGAGCTTTTCAACAGGTATAACTTGGTTTTATAGCTGGGATGGGCCCGAAGAGGGAATGGCAATAAAACGAGCATAGATCATAACTCGCAATCTATTTTCTTATCCATCCTTCTATCTATCCATCACCGCTAAAGTGAGACAAGACAATGCGCATATATAGACACCGGGCTGCGCACAAATTAAAAACCTAGGTAAATAAGATTTTGCGCTCGTTCAAAGGCCGTTGTACAAAACGGATCCAAAAGAACTCCTAAAACACGAATGCCATACGTGTGCGCGCGCGTGCGTGCGCCCAGACCAGGGGTGCATACCTCGCCCAGCTACCATGCGAGCGTGCGTGTGCGTGCGCGGACGAACATGTTCTCATATAGAACGGTATTATCACCCACAGTTATTCGCCTTCCAGCTCATGTTATTCTCACGCCCATGCAGAAGCGGCATCCCCCCCCCCATCTGCATCCGGGATCTCTTCTCATCAGGCGTCACACCTTCCTCCACCCTCCCTTTGGTCTCTCACACTCCCTGCAACGACCTACCCCCTCCCAGTAACGCGACAGCTCAGGCATGCTTCCCATCAGTGGCAATGTGGGCTACCCGGCCCCATCCCTTTTCTCACCCCCTGCCCCTGGCTCCTCCCTACCGGCCCTCCCCTCTGCCCCTGGCTCCTCTCTACCGGCCCTCCCCCCTGCCCCTGGCTCCTCCCTACCGGCCCTCCCCTCTGCCTCTGGCTCCTCCCTACCAGCCCTCCCCCCTGCCCCTGGCTCCTCCCTACCGGCCCTCCCCCCTGCCCCTGGCTCCTCTCTACCGGCCCTCCCCGGCGATGACCTACCTCAGAGTAGGGCGGCGGCTCCGGGAAACTGCCCATTGGCAGTGAGGCGGGCTGCCCGGCGTCGTGGTGTATGAACAGCGACGGGTAGCCTGAGAAGCGCTGTCGGTAGTTGCCCGGCATGCGGTTGCCCATGAGGTAGCGGCTCGGCGGCACCATGCCGTGCATGCCTGAGTAGGGACCCGGTCCGTACAGGTTCCACATGTGGCGCCGCCGCCAGTAGCCGCAGACGCCGAAACAGGCGATGAGCAGCGAGATGACGATGAACCTGCGAACCAACAAAGCAACAGCTGTAGGTGATAATAGCTAACAATGAAGACGACGACGATGACGATGATGATGAACACAACGACAACAGCAACGATGACGATGACGACAACAATAACAACGAGGACGACAATGACGGCGACGGCAATGGCAATGACAACGATGACAATAATAACAGGAACGACGACGACAGCTATGACGATGACAACAACAACAACAACAACAACAACAACAACAACAACAACAACAACAACAACAACAACAACAACGACGACGGACAAGATGAATGGAAAACGTTATTGAGAAGACGAAAAACTCCAGCAACTATGTCCGTAATCGGCATCACATATTATAAAATATTGGTCATACTACCTATGAGGTTTAGTACCCAGCATTGCATACTGCAAAATAAATTAATCAATAAAATAAATTGAAAACTAGAAACGAGCAGTTGTCGCCAACTACATGTATCCCCCGTGATCTAGTATGAATGGAATATCTCTGTAAGGACGTAGAAGGCAGGTAAAGTTAAATAAGTCACAAAGACAAAGGTTTGTTAGACAACTGGTGTGCCTCAGATGTGCAAGTATATAGCATCTGGTTACCCTAGGAGGCTGAAGAGGAAATGTAAGTCGACGGTGAAGGTCAAACTAAGGTAAAGGGCAGTGGTGGTTTTGGTATGCGACAGACCTTCTCCCCATGATGTGTAAGCATACCAAGTTTGGTCGCGCTAGGTCAATTAGGGGCTGAGTTAGAGAGCGAAAGGGAAATATGATCAAGGTCAAGGTAAAGGTGAAATAAAGGTTGCAGTGACCTGGTGGGCAGTTTTTACCCGATCTCGGATGATCTTCAAATTTGGCATGAAGGTGCGTTATGGTAAAGCGAAGACGCCAATGGTTTTTGGTGTGGGCAGAGTCATCGTTGCCATGGTAACAACATTTTTGTGGAAATATTGTAGAACCTGTAACTTGTGCTGTTTTTACCCGATTGTCATGGAATTTGGCACACAGGGCCGATATAACATGTCATATATATATATATATATATATATATATATATTTGATGACAATCATAAATTTAAATATAAATTTAAATACAAATTTTAATACAAATATTAAATTTAAATTTTATTTTTAAATTTTTAAATTTAAATTTTAATATAAATTTAAATATAAATTTTAATACAAATATAAATTTCATGACAATCGGGTAAAAAGTGCAGAAGTTACAGGTTCTAGAATATTTCGACAAAAAATGTTGTTACCATGGCAACGATGACTCCGCCCACACCAAAAACGATTGGCGTCTTCGCTTTACGATAACGCACCTTTAGGAAATTTGAAGATGATCCGAGAAGAACTGCAGCCGGTAGAGCGTTTACAAGGAAATCTCTGCGGCGGCGGCGGCGCGCCGATGCCAAACCCATAGTATCCCCCCCCCCCGAACGAATACAATAAAATCATTACGTTAGAAAACTTTCCAAGTCCTATATAAAATATATATATATATATATATACATATATATATACCATGGTCCATTCATATACAACACCTCACTATACCAATATTAATAATATCAAGAGGAAAATAAAACGAAGGAACATTTTGGTTGCTTTGAATTCACTTCAAAATCATCAACTCCAAATACACCCTAGACACGGGAGACCTCCATATGAAGCCATTTCTTTTCCTTTACCCCTTGAACTACAGGTTGCCCACGAACCCTCTGACCATGTCCATTCTGATTGATCTCATCTTGTGACATGTGAAATGTGATATGTAATATGTAAAATGTGATACCACGTAACATGTGAAATGTGATATGTAAACACCGGTGGCGACCACGATGGCGTGTAGATGGCTGCTAGATGGGTGGCGGTGACATTAGTGTCGCACGGACAGAGCTCTCGCCAACCCGTGCCTTCCGTGCGATGCCCGCAACATGCGATGCGGCTTGCGCGCGACATACACATCACTATGCACATCACGCACATGCGCTATCCGTCATAACCCCATAAAAAATTAACGAGCTCTCATTTCATCCTCATTTTATATCGATTCGTGGCTGACCTATTTCTATTTTCAAATTTATAAAGAGCTAATAATACCTTATTATAGCTATTAAGTATATAAGTATAAGTATATAAGGTATTATTTGCTCTTGATATTATATAGCAGTGAAACAGTGGGTGGCTGCGATATTACTAAGAGACGCACATTGTAGAATACAATCAGCATTCTTTCTCGTCGAGCCAGGGACTGACAATGACTACTACCTGTGACCTTATTACTTTACCCACTCCATTTACTACTGGAAACCCCATGAAATGTTGGTGATGAATAAAAAACAGTCTCCCCCTCCCTCACGCCCAGATTACTAGTAATCTCACGCACGCAGCCGCCGCTGGTAAATCTAGAGCGAAGTTGGGTAGAGAGAGCGCGAGAGAGAGAGAGAGAGAAAGAGAGAGAGAGAGTCGTACGCCAATGCAGCTCTCGTACTCTGTATCTCGGTACTGTGGTTCACTAGGTTGGTTAGCGTGCGTTACGTGTGTTTGACCGAGCGCTGGACTCATGAATCACGCGCGCGTCGACACTCTGAATGTATTCTCTTTCACAGGTAGCGGAGATTACGAGCCGCGGCTGTCTGCCCCGTGGCGCGGGCGCGGCGACCGATAATGGTCGCGTGACGTCGCGTGAGTCGCGTGAAACGTCGTCATGCGGCGACGAATCTCTTTCGGAGAGAGAAATTACTGCAGAGCTCCCCCCCCACTCTCTCTCTCACACACACGCACGCACACACACACACACACACGCACACACGCACGCACGCACGCACGCACGCACGCACGCACGCACGCACGCACGCACGCACGCACACAAACACAATCACGTATACACTCCCTCTCACCCGTCTATCTCTCTATTTCTTGCTGTCTCTCTCTCTCTCTCACCCGTTTATCTCTCCATTTCTTGCTGTCTCTCTCTCTCTCTCTCATCCTTTCATCGCTCTATTTCTTGCGCGCGCTCTCTCTCTCTCTCTCGCTCTCTCTTTCCCTCTGACGGTGCCGGTTACACATGTCCCCGCGGCTAATGTTGGTGACAGATGGTGACACCCGACAGCATCGGATGATGGCGGCGGCACTATTGATGATACACCTGCCGCCTGTGGCCGCCCGCTGTCACGACACGATGTCACCCCGGCGGCGCAACTACGACGATGACGTTGGCGCTAGCGAAACGTGTCGTAATTCTGCCATCCAGTCGCCATGGTGACGTTGCGTCAGTGCATGGCGGTGTACATGTTCACTACCGCGTCCGAATTACGTGACCGCCGCCACGTTACGTCACGTCGCCGTGGTGGTGACGGCGGACAGTGCCGAACGGTGCGTACCAGTCGATCAAACTCTCTACCCCCTCTCTCTCTCTCTCTCTCTCTCTCTCTCTCTCTCTGTACGTCATGATCCGCCCTCCCTCGTTGTTTATATCCAACACATGTAGCCTACACCTCAACCGTTGAATAGGTCAGTAGGTATATTGATGTAAATCCACACGTGATCACGGTAAGAATAATATGTAACGCGAGAAAGAACGTGCTCGCGTGTGCCTACCACGTTGACGCGCATACAGGCAACATCTCGGCTGCGCAGTGGGAGGGAGAAGTTGAACCCCAGCCCGCCGGCGAATTTTTTACCCTGACCCTTTCAGCAAGCATAGTGTACGTCGTCAGTGTCGAGTATGGCATGTATTTTGTTTCATAATTCGATTTTTTGTTTCATGGTTGATTTTATCACATATAACATTCACGGATCGAATGCTTCGATTCACGGATCGAATGCTTTGATTCACGGATCGAATGCTTCGATTCACAGATCGAATGCTTCGATTCACGGATCGAATGCGATTCACGGATAGAATAATGCGATTCACGGATCGAATAATTCGATTCACGGATCGAATAATTCGATTCACGGATCGAATAATGCGATTCACAGATCGAATGCTTTGATTCACGGATCGAATAATGCGATTCAGAGTCGCATGGTTCGATGCAGTGCGTGCAGGAGGGATCTACATAATACAAAAAATACCGTAGTAGTTATTCGCACCGCGGCGGTGCGGATAACAGAAAATGTGTTCTTATTCGGACCGCGGTGAATTCGCAGTGCACACGCAAGCAGAAGTTAACTGATAGCCTTGACCACCGAGCTCTATCATAGAATTATTTTATATTTTATACATGTTGAAAGGCCAAGGAGTGCCAATATTAGGCAGTTAATATGTATAAGCAAGGGAGAAAATAGATGAAGAGGGACGAGGTATATGAGGAGGGAAGAAGGTGGTACAGGAAGAAGGAGAGAAAGTAGAGGACGAGGGAGAAGGTAGTGGGGAAGGAGGAGGAGAGAAGGGGTGGAGGTAGAAGAGGTAGAGGACGAGGGAAAAGGTAGTGTAGGAGGAGCAGGTAGAAAAGGGGTACAGGAAGGAGGTCGATGAGGAGGGTAGAAGGTGGTCGAGGAAGAAGGTAGAAAGTGGTGGGGAGGAGGGGGAGGAGGGGGAGGAGGGAGGAGGTAGAGGGGAAGAATGTGGTGGAGGAGAAGGGG